GGCAAAGTCAGTACTTTAGATTGCTTCTAAATTCAAACACGAGCTCTGCTCTGCACAGGGAGGTGCAGGGCGAGGGGCTCAGCCAGACACAAAATCTTTGTCTGGCCTGTTTTAACATACTGACGTACCTTGAGTTCCTACAGCGTGTCCCTAGACAGGTAATCACCACTTAAAACCCTCGAAAGCTCCTCAGACAGAAAGGATCTGAAGGGAGCAGATCAGCCTGCTCCTCCCTGCTTTCCCCCAGGCCAGATTCTGGAGCAGCAACTGTTCCCATGTGCTGGAAACGCAGTGAACTGGTGCTAAAAGCTGGCAACCCCACCCAGCCATTGGGATCAGAGGGCCCCGCTCCATACCGACGTCGATGACTCTCTGCTTGGCCGTGGGCTGGCGGGAATGCCAGTGCTTCCAGAACTTGAGCTGCTCCGTGGGGATCTTCTCGTTGTCAAACACGATCATCACAACACTCTGTAACACAGCCAGGATAGCCCGTATCAGTATGTGCAGCAGATCGGTGCTGGGGGCTCTCAGCGCCCCTTGCCCCCAAGTCTGGTGTCACTGTCCACGTTTTATTGCACGTGTTAATGCCTGCTGCAACTCTGCTGACATCTCCTGCACTGGTGGGGATATCAGCAGAATTTCGGCAGCCATTAGGCTGGCACAGCCTAAAAGCTCTTCCAGCCATTCCAAGGTCTCCCAGACATGCAAAGGTTCAGGAATCCTGCAACTCTGGACAGGACTGAAGTCTAGCCCCTAACATACCTCAGGATTGGAGGACTAGGGTTCCTTGCTGGGAACTCAAGCTCAGCTGGTCTTGGGGCCTGGCTACCTATCCCAGGAACAAGACAGGGGCTCCTTTCTCCAGCTCCAAACTCTTCCCACCGGGACCCCCTCCCAGCCATGAGCTAGGGAGGCCTTTTGTGCATCCCTGACCCGACTGGGAGGTTTCAAACGGCCAGACTGGGCGAAGGCTTTTGCTTTGCAGCAGGGGATTAGCCTGCTGGGAGCGAATCCATCCCGGCCGTTGTTTTAAGCCATCATGAGCCACAAAGCCCTCGCTCTGTTCCCAGGCCAGCACAATTGCTCCGTGTCTGACTGTAGCGTGTGTCAGCAAAACTGTCAGCGCGTCTCTTACCTTCACTTTATTTGAAGACAAGTGTAAACATTTGCTGTCTCCGGCTGTCCGCAGTGTGATGGGGTAGAACTGTCCCTTGTTGAGGTAGGCCATGGGAGAGTCCCCAGATTTGATGTGAATTGCTTTGGGAGACCCCAGGGTGTATTCAAAGTCACTTGCATGGAACAAAGAGAGAAGGGTGAGTGAGGACAAGCCAGAGTCAGAGAAGTCTCCATCCCTGCAGGTCACAGATACTGCACACGCAGGAATCTCTCTGCTCCCCATCACACAGCGCCCTGCTGTTGTGACCAAGCTGCCTGCAGTGCAGAACACACTGATCCTCCCAGCACCCTGTGGAACAGCAGTTCTCTGCTATCCTCATTTTACCCTATTTGTGTTTATGGCTTGCAAATCCCCATACATTTTTCTAACCGGTTTTCTTCTGTAGAGGGCTGCAGAACCTTTGCACAACACACAGCCTGAACCATAACAAATAAAAATGGGTACCGGTGATGAGACTTTTAAAACTAGCTATCTCCAAATTCCATAAATGGCTGATCCAGGGGGACTGAGTCCTAGTCTAGAAACAAGAGGAGCTGCAGGACACCTGCCTGTTCAGTTAGGCAGCTACAAGCAGATTTAGAAGCCCAGCTTTTCAAACTCTCTGTCTGGTGGGCAGCAGCTTTAGTCTTCATTAAGATTAAAGATTACAGAAAAATAAGATTGTAGAGATGAGATGTAGCCTTAAACAGAAGAAGGCCTAACTGCTGCAACTGAATCCCAGGGCTGATTTTCAGCACGCTCTGCACTTGGGCAGTCCCTGGGTGCTGCACTCCAACCACAGAGATGCAGCTCAAGCTCCTCTCTTGTGCGAGGATCCCGGGCAAGCCGTCACCTGTACACAAGCCTGTACACAGCCCCTGAACATCACGGCCTTCCCGTTTAGTCACCAACCCATCTCTTTGTCCTGTCCTGTGATGCCAGCCCTGAAGCGACGCTTGGCCAGGGGAGCCAGCGGCCTCCTCTGCGTGAGTAAACAGCAAACAGAACGTCTCTGGCTAAGGAACGTTGAGCTGCGCTGTGAAAATGCCCACGTCTCCCAGCTGACTCACGCAATCAGGTGACTCGGGAGGCAAACAGAAGGTGGGAGGTGTTTCAGGAATGACACGCAGTGGCACCTTCGTGCATTAATGCTGACTGAACAACAGGGCTAAACCCAAGGTAAGAAGCTCCTTAGATCGCGAGGAGGTTGCTCTTCACCCTGTTCTATTGTCACCTTCCTTTTCTCTGGCTGGAAACCCAAGGACCATGGACTGGCAGTTACCTCTTAACACCGTCAGCAGCGTAACTCTCAGGGCAGGGTGGCTCTGGCGGAGGCTTGAGGATGTCACTGAAGAGCAGCGACTGCAGGAAAGGGAGACAGAACAGTCAAAAGCAGGATCTTGCACTGCTTTGCCCATCCACCTTTTTCCCGGCGATTCGCAACACTGGCTCTGCTAAAACAAGGAGCCTCACTTCAAAGCCTGATCCCACCTCCAAAATCAACGTAAAAACACCAAAACAAACAAACAAAGCCCACACTAATTCAGTTGAATTGCTTCAAGCTTCTAAGGCAAAAGCAAAGCTTCCACTGAGCAGCATGAGCAAGCCCCGCACTAGAGAGGGCTCCACGCGCCGTCCCCTCGGCCGCGCGGCTGCCCCGCAGCCCCGAGCAGCCCTGACCTCCTGGAGATGCTCCTTGAAAGTGCTGTCCGGCTGCCACCTCTGCTGCGGCGGCGCCACGGGGATGGGCTCGAAGAGGGAGTTGAGGGAGCCGCTGTCGTACACGTCCCCTGGGGGCACCATGTAGTTGTCCGGGGCAGCGTCCAGCTTGCTGGTGCCCGGGGGCAGCAAGGCTGCCTTGTGCGACGCGGCGAGGCCTTCGAGGCTCAGGCCGTTCTTCTTCTGCGGCTCGCAATAATCTTGGCTCACGGAGACGTTTTCAGACAGGAGCTTCATGAGATGGGCCGAGCCGTCGAAGGACGCGAGCTCCGGCTCGTACTCCACGCCGTGGCAGTGCCTGCTGGAGAAACGGGCCCGTCTCAGAGCAGGGCAGAGCACGGACAACAACAGGCCTCAGGGTGCAGATCCAGGCACTCACCCCAGCGTCGTGGCAGGAGCCCGGCACGTAGGGGATGCTCACATGGGAGCAGAGAACACGGCTTAGACCTAGTCTGGGGCTGCAAACCCCAGGACTAAGTGCAGCTTTTCTTTGCTTAGGTTATTAAACACTC